AACTGGGTAAGCAAATCGAGCGCGCCTTAGACCTTAGAGAAGGCGCGCTCGATTTGCTTACCCAGTTGTCCAGGAATGATATTAATATTATTAATAAGTATTTCGTGCGCACGTTAAACTTATTGCGTGGCCACGAAATAGTATTTCGTGCGCACATTAATAAGTATTTCGTGCGCACGTTAAACTTATTGCGTGGCCACGAAATACTACTTCCTGGCCACAATTTAAAAAATGTTTTGACCATGTCATCAGAGGGGCTCCGTAGAATTCCTTATGTAGCCTGATAAAAGAAAAGCAGTAGAAAAAGGAAAGGTGTATGATGTCAATGACAAAACAAAAAAAACGCTAGTGTCTCTTTCAGGTAATCTTATTAGAGCCATTTAGAGGCTCATTGGATGCTAAATCATTTGGAAAACATTTTGGAGGGGAATGAAAAGCTCTCCCACGCATAGTGGTTTTGACATCCGGCCAAAGCTTGGATCATATTGGTGAGATACCAGAACCCAGCCTCATACTAATGACCTAATCTAACTCCATCAAGTGTTTTTAGTGCGATCTAATGTGTCCAGAAGGCAGCCTCAGTGTCTGGTGACCTCACTCTCTGGGAATAGATCACTCCCGGCCTCAACAACCACAGCGGATGCAGATCAAATCATTTGAAACCTCCCTCACTGTTCTGTAAACGTATCAAACAGCATCCAGATTACACCGTTTCATCCCAGTGCTTAAAGCGTTTACTTTTACCATCCCTTCATGTGATCCTTTTATGCTAAAAAGGCAGAATTTTGACAAACTTATCCATTAATTTCACTTGCTGGTGGCGAACATTCATAAAAAAGAGCCAACATTTGATAGAAACTGTCTACACAGGGCAGGACTGCAGCTGAGTTTTAAGTAGCAAACTTTTCAAACCTCACGCGGAAAGACGGCGCCAACAGAAGCGTTAACCATTTAGATGATGGCAGTGTTACAAAGCTACTTCAAATGACGGACAGAAACACATCGCTCAAACATTTAAATATGGGAAAAGCTTTGGGTTGGGTACGTTGCCAACTGGTACGTTTCACTGAGCTGTTTCATAACTGCTTCTCCCTCTATCTCTACCTAAAGACAGGTTTCAGGGCAGGCAGCCATGTTACCGTTCGGCTGCGGATCTTTTAAGAACCTCTCCACCTCCTGGGAGTCCACCGTCACACTCTTTGGTCGGACATCATCTCTGCCCTCCTCCTCCGTTTTCTGCTCCTCCATAACCTTCTCTTGCTCTTCTCTCTCTCCCTTTTCTTCATCATCGTCTCCATCTGCCTTGTTGCCTCGCAGCTTTGCATTACATTCATCGGTCAGTGTGATGCTCTCCAGTTTGTCTGCTGGTGGGGGGGGCTTTATCTTGATAAACAGGAAGTTGCAAGTGGCCAGAACCACTCCTGAGACCACCACCTCACATCCTGCCAGCAGGAAGACGTACATGTAGTTCTTGGTAGCATCAAGAAGTCGGCCTGAGAAAAGGAAGACAAAAAAAAAAGGTGATTAGACTTGGTTGGCGCCATTTTGTTTCACAGATTACATTCTAGGGTGGGGTGACTATGTGACTCTGTTTAATTGAACAAAAAAGGTTTTAATAGAGAATATGACTGCAGTTTAAAAGGCTTATGAGAACCTATATAACACCAGTTAGGCTTCATCACATGTCCAGTGATATTCCAGATACTTGCACTAAATGTTTATCTGAAAAAGGAACTCTTCTCCATTGTTTGTGGGAATGTCCTAAAGTCCAGAAGTTTTGGAAGGATGTTATTAAGTGTCTATCTGAATCGTTTAAAGTCGTAGGGAAGCGGCTGTTCCAACCGTTGCAGTTCTGAATTCTCCGAGTGGTGCCCGCCTTTACACGAGTGAATAAAGTGAATGTGATTGGTCGATTATCAAGGGGGCGGGATTGTTGTGGCAGAAGGTTCGCAAGCAAATTTGGTTGTGGCCGGCGTCTCAGAAAGCATCTTGCTAACCAGTTAGCAACTTAGTGCTAGCAGGTTCCCAATGGGAAATTCCATTGGGACCAAGTAGCACTAAATTGGTGACTTAGAAACGACGCTGTCAAGGAACGCTATGGACAGCGGAAACATGCAAGAGGAGGAGAGTTTAGTGTCGGAGGTCGTGGATGAGTCTCCTCTGTCATCCATTTTTTATTTAGAGGAGGAAAGCGGGGACGAAGATGTTGTGGAAGAGGACGCCAGGGCGGCAGAAGCTTGGTTTGGTGTAGAAGGCTTCCAGCCGTACATGTTTGAGCCCTTGCCTCGCAACGCTGCCAGTTCTGTTAGCTCTACGCCTGCCGAAGACACAGACGTCCATCCCCGTGAACACTGGGACGCAACTCAATGGGAAAGGAAAGGATTCTGATTTCAACCGTTGCGTATATTAGCTGCGACATATGAATCAAGATGCTATGACCGAAAAAAATATGATTGACAGATGAGCGTTGATATATGATTGGCCGAATTTAGGTGTTCAGGCTGACGTAAAACTAAGTGGCCTGCAGAAGATAAGGAAAAAAAAACACCACCGATTTTAAGACAGGATATTTTTTTTTTTTTATAAAAGATTCTACATTTTGGGACGTTATGGTCTGATAAATAGAACATTTACATACATGTTTAAGCCAGAATGATTTGACATTCAAATATGACTTCCCTACAACTTTCAGGTGAGAGTCCAATTAGAGGTTAAAATCTGTGTTCTAGGAAAATACCAAATAGAATTTAAACAATCGCAGAAGACAACTACATTGATAGATTACTGACTTCTTCAAGCCAAAAAGAATTGCACTATGCTGGAGGAGCATGGAGGCCCCCTCCTCTGGATCTGGAGGAATAAAGCTGCAGGTTCGCTTGGACTGGAAAATCTAACATACATTGCCAAGGGCAAACTTTGAGAATCTATTGGAGCTATATATGAGGATCATAGGGACTGAAGGTGGAGCTTATTGATGGGTGTGTTGAATGGATGTCTTAACTACAGTTTCTAGTCATATATTGCCTCATTATTTTTCTCTGCCTTAATCTAAATAGCTTCGTATATTTTTGGAACTAAACAAATGCAGGTTTAAATGGTGAATGCAGGAGTGAATGTAAGTACATTTTACAAGGTTAAGTTTGATGTCTGTAAGTTTGTTGTGGAAAAATAAAAGCAAGAAGAAAAAAAGAGCAAATGATTGTTATCAAAATTTTAACATTTTTCTTTGAAGGATCATTGTTCATTGCTTCATCAGGTCAAGGATCCTTTAACTGTGTTTAAAACCTGCAGATCTTCAGTCCTTCTCTTTGTTTGTGCCTGAAAAGACATGAAAACCTTGAAATCCTGATTTGAACCAAAATAAAAAGGCTGATTTACTATTTCTATTGTATTTTTATATTATTCACCTAAACTTTCTGAAGTGAATGTTTAAGCAGTGGGTGTTGTGGGGCCAATTGAAAAAAGTTTCCCTGAGTGTCCCTCCAATTTAGTGGTGGACCGTAGCTTAAACCCAATTTACACTAGCCTGAGCCGAGATCGGCCTGAGCACATTAACCGAGATAACTGTTGAGTGTAAATTGCACGCAAACTGAATCGGACCGTGCCAGACACAACCGAACTGCGCTAAACTGGAACTGGTTCATCAGTAAGGCTCGGCACGGTTCAGTTCTGGCTCGGTTCTCAGATAACAAAGAGCGCATGAGCAGACCGCCTCATCTCCTTACAGTCAACCATGACATTTCAGACATTCATAAAAATACTAGCTTCCCTACTGTGCCACATGATTTCCAGAGATGATTCTTCTTAGCAGTGTGATGAACCCAGGTTCAGACTGGTAATCAATGATACTGGGCATTTGCCCGATGAGCTGGTCCTAATTTCAGCGTTCAAGGGCCGGCCCTCCTTAAATCATACCGGCCTCAACACTTACTCTCCTGCCAAATCACCTACCTGTGACAAGAAATTACTGAAGGAGCTCAAGAAGTAATCCAATGTTAACTCCCTAAATGATGCATGCAGTATATAAAACCCTTCCTTGTCATGCACATCCTTGTGACAGTTGGCATATTGTGTCATTTTCTATTTCTTTAAACTGTAAAATCCTTGCAAAAAACTAAATTATAATAAAACTAAAATGCTTTCTTTAAACCAAACTACGATGTTCCTTTTATATTTGGTTAATTTATGTTTGAATATTTTGCACAAAAAAAAAATGTTGCAGTGCATGATGGGTTTTTGCATCTATTACATTATTCCATTTCATTTCCCACATGCCACCTAGACTCGCAGTGAATGCTAACACACCGAGCTGACATGTATTCATGCATTCATTCTTGAAGAACTGCCTATCTGCCTCTATATTATATTGTTTTATGTTGGTGTTTTTACAACACTCAGGCTTATGTTGTAGACCTAGTATGTGTGAGCACCTGTCTGGCTGGCTTTGTGCAACTGTGGACGTTACGCAGCAGAAGTCACTGTCGTGTCCATGTTAAAGGTACACTATGCAACCGGTGTTGATTTTCCAGCGAGGCTCCCCCCAGAGGGCGAAAGTAAAAGTGCACTGTCGTGAATATGCACAGCTGTTCTCCTGGTTTCTCCGTCAAGCCAGGCGCGGTTGTTTTGAGCTTAGCAGACAGGCAAACGCAACGAATGACTAACACAGTGAAAGTATGAACATGCACACAGAGAGAGAGGAACCATTCCAATGTTACTTACAATCGCATCAGCAGAAACGCGAGGTCCCCGTCAGCCTTGCAGCCTTCTTTTTATTTTAGCTCTCGCCATTCGGAAAAAGCTTGCCCGATGTTCACCCGTGTACGACTCCTCTCTCTCTCCGGAGCCCTTTTCCTCTTTCTTGCCTGCTCCGACATGGGCTTTCACTGTTTTCACGCTGGTTCCGCCATGATAACTGCACAAAGATCGCCACTGTGCTAGCAACGAGCATGCTTTTAACTGGGGGCATTCAGCAGTTCTCGCCGTAAAGCAAGACCGACTCTCGCGAGACTTCTGAGCCTGTGGGTGCGGGCCGAGGGCTCCTGCAATTGCAAATGCGGTATTTCCCCCACAGACCACCAGGGCGGCCGAGAAAACCTTTGTTCAACCTGAAATGACTCATTTAATCATCCAAAACGTTATGGAACACATTAATTAACTGGAAAATGTTGCATAGTGTGCCTTTAATAACCAAAGCCAGTAAAACCGCATCATAGAAGTACTGGTGATGGTTGTCATGTGATGCTTGAAGATAGATCGGTTATTCCACAATGTGTATTCGTATTGTGTTTCACATTTGAGACGCATGCGTTTGACTGTGCTTCTATTTTTTCGGAAATCGTTCCCAGTCCGAGCCTGGATGAACCTCAACGTCTGTGGTTGTTTCCTGCATCTGTAAGACCTGATTAGACTCTCGTTTGTCGTATCCACATCCCAAAAGCCGCCTCAAGTAGGATAAATTTCAAGTAAATTTCACCAAAGGCTGCCTTCTTCGCCTCACTCTCCGATAGGGATGGGAAACAAAAACCGGTTCCTGTTAGACCGGTTCTGTGTGCTCCAATTCCAGGGCACCGTTTGGCAGCTTGCTTAATGATTCTCCTAACGGTTCCAGGCAGCACCAGAGCCTAGCGCTGAGCAGCACGACTTACCTCACCTTTTTTTATGCACATGGCATTCAGTAAGTACGACGTGACCAGAGTTTATTTCCTGAAATTGTACAGAAATGCTTTTTCATTAAATGGATGCCTTCTCCATTAGATTTAGATGACTGTGACGAGACGGGTAGCCTGGCTGGATCAGAGGCTGGCAGCTCACTGCCTTCTGTCTTGGCTGAGGCAAGCAGAAATAGAATGTCCCAGGCGAAGCTAGACGAATGTCACAGTGCACTTACCAAGTTCATTGTTAACAGAATCGATAAGAGAATGGATAGGGAATCGAATCATTTCATAGAATTGATAAGGGAATCTGTCACATCATTGAGCCGGTGGCGTCTGATCTAAGAAGCCGAAACGAGTCCGCTTGGATTAGATAAACAAGGAGCAGCTCTGGTGAGAGGGATTCACACGGATAAAAGAAATACTGACTATACGCCCCTAGTTTCCTGAATTTTATCGCACTGATGACATCATCAACGCTAACCCAGCATGATGGTGTCAGCAGTCACACAGCGGTGGGGGAACAGAGGGCACGGAGCTGCCAGCGATGGGTTAAATCCAGCTTTTTTTAGCTAATCGTTTTTGTTTAAGCAAATTACTCTCTACCTTATAGTCTCAATAGAAACTCTCACCGGTGAAAGTTCTTGGTCACTCTTGCAGCTTTCTCCATGATCTATGCCATTCTACCTGCAGGATCCGGGTTCATAATTGGCCTGTGACCCTCAGCAAAGATCATCCCCAGTTTGAGTGCTGATGGCTCGGCATATATTTAATCACACATGCCAGGCAGCGTCACTGTGGCGCGACGGCTGCCGACACTTTGTGAAGTCCAATAAAGCTAGGGATACACTGTACATTTTTTTCAATCGTTGCACTCAGCTACAGCTCAACGAAACCACAGGGTTTTAAAATTCACAGCTCACCATGTTTGTTCTCACACTGTCCACATCAGTCTCAGCTCGGCGAGATGGAGCTACTCGGACTCGTCTATCAGGAAGCGAAACGAGTTGAAGAGGAATATGAAGCTCACTAGAGTGAAACACTGCCTTGGATATTTGGG